GATTCCCACAGATTGGGAACTTCCCAAGTTTCAAAATATCCCATCACTTTGATAAGGTTTTGAAAATTTTTCACGACATTTCATGGTTATTCTCATCTGAGAAATCAGAAAAAATCTGATAAATGTGTGGGCGAGACCAATATCTCTTCTCTGAAACGGAATCAACGACTTTCCAATGCACTGGTTGTCATTGCCGCCTTCGTGCAATCGTCACCAGTCAACAAATTATTATTATGCAGTTTATGCACATAAACTAATTGAATAAGATCATTATCATTGAGTAAACATAATGGTATTACAAACATTCTTGCTTGTTTCATTTTTTGAATGATATTGCTGATTTCAACAGGCGTCAACCTTTGGCGTTAGCAACATTGCCATTGGTTTAGCCATCTATTCATCAACGCACTGGTTGTCATTGTCTCCTTCGTGCAATAGTCACCAGCCAAGACGCGCAAACGTGACTCTTTCATCTCGAGTACACGCAGCCGTAAACAAGAAAAATTGCAAGTAGTTTCATGTAATTTTTCAACTCGAAGAATTAATTTACCTTTTGAGGTTACATCGCACTCGTAGTGCAAAAATTCCTCCAGCTTCATTATTTCATATAGGATTTCTCCTTCTGGGAAATCTCCTTTTGTTGTTTTAATATTTACTCACATTGTATGACCAAAAAAGTTGATGATAAATCAATTTTGAGTGAATAAAATAACTCTGTATGGTGTGTCCCTTTCGAGCACAAAAAACGTTATGAAAACGACAGATCTGTGGGGGCGCCACCAGACCCTCATGGCGCATTTTTTCGAATTGCTCTTTAAACTTGTGACTCAACCTACATAAACAGCGGTACTACCAGTAAATATCAGGATTGTAATCCTGAGAACGAGACTGACATATAATCATTACCCCCAGATACCGAATGAATGGCTGGGAAGAGAGTTCGTAGTCCCTGACTTGCACCCTCATAATTCCGATTTGCTTCTTACTTGTGATCAACACGGTTTCTATTTTGTAATCCGCCGGTTGCAGACCTACGCTGTCCATCCAGCGACACATTACTTTGAAAGTCATGTTGAAAACAAGTTTGATCTCCTCTAGATGTTTCCTCGCAATGACTACAGCCATGTCATCTGCTAACGCCACGAGATTCACATCACGTGGTAGCGTGAGTTTCAGAACCTCATCGTACATACTGTTCCGCAAAAGACCTAGTACTAAGCCCTACGGCACCCCTCCAGTGAGTCTGTACTCTTCGGGGCCACCTTCCGTGTCGTAGTTGACCACCCTTACAGTGAAATAATTAGCTACCATCTTTCGTGAGCATCTAGATACATTGACATCTGCCAAAGCCTTCACAATACAGTCTCACCGAGCTAAGTTGAAGGCCTTCTTGGTGTCCAATGTCACTACTAGGCAGTACTTCTTTGTGGTGTTGAGCCATCTTGTCCCTGAATTCGCTCCCCTGGCGATATCGATGTCAAGGTTTGCTTTTATTCTTTCATGGACGATGTAGTCGAGAATCTTCTCAGCGATGTTGAACATACAGAAGGGACGATATGATGACGGTTAGTCCGATGGCTATTTCCCTTTCGTGAATAAAACAAGCCTCTGCTGCTTCCATTGGCCGAAGCGGAGCCCTCCCTAAGACACTTGCTGTATGCATCGAAAAACAGTCTCGGCTTCGCATGAACAGCTGATTGCAGCGCAACATTGGTAACTCCATCCAGCCCAGGAGCTTTGGTGTTACTCTGGTGCACATCTCAATCAGTTCTGCCTCAGTTATTGACGGAAGCCGCTACTTCTTCTCTTCGTTCAACAATACGGTGCAACTGTGATTGCTTCGCAAGCAGCACCCTGACTATTTTCTTCATGAGTTCCGGACATCTCAGCGATTGTATCGGCTAAATTTTAAATCGCGTCATCACAGCCGGCCCTATGGGTCACCTTCCACTGCTTCAAGGATTTCATTCCATGCTTACTTCTTGCTGCCTTTTATGGCTTTGTAAAGGTTTCGGCGTGCTTTCTTACATCTCATCTCCAGCTCCTCGAAATGTGGCTTGTTTCAACCACGTTCGGACGATCTCGCGTTGCATTCCTTCCGCGAAACCGGGATGGTGTTGTTCCACCAGTGTACGAGTGAGTACCGTATATATTAAGTACGTATTCAGTATCGTATAATCATAATATAATTTGTAACATTTGTTTTCATCGTATAATTATCAACATTCATCGTATAATCGTCAATTATTTTTTGAAATAGAAGAAGGAAAGACAATGTAAATGAGAAACTAGTAATAGGAAAAATATAATTCTTTATTATTATTCATTTGGAGGGGGGGGGGACACTTCTATCATCGTCGTGTGGTCCACTAGAGGTTAATGCAGCTTTTTGCTCCATTTTCTCCTTGCTCACTCAAAAATTTCCACAAGACACAAACAAGATAGTCGCCCTAAACGTTTGGAAATTGAATCGCAACTTGCCATACGTTCCAACGGGCGTGCTTATAAACCCTGTACTTCAGATTCAAAGTGCTTGAATACTATTGACCGTGCCTTTTTTCTATTCCTTTATATTGCCCCCCTCTCACCTCCCATTCATTTCCAGCATTTTGGTGGACGAGGTGACGTCTAGACTCACGTAAGCCACGTCTAGACGTCACCTCGAATGGCGTCAGGCCCGGATTAGTATCATAAACTATCTGTCCCTTGCTAATGCCTTATCGAACATGGTACCATAAAAATGTAACACATGCCCATCACAAATTAAAAAGTACAGCAATGTAGTCGCACCTTTAATTACTACAATTAACAAGAAAAAAAAAGGGCAGTTGGAGACTTGAACTCAAGACCATCGAGTCTATAGGTTGGACGCTTACCACTGCGCCATGGCGGCTTTACGGTAACCCTGATTTCGGAACTCGTATATATTTTGTATTTCAAAGTTTGAGGGCGAATTTCTTCCTTATTCTTGAGTGTTGCACCCTAGGGCTATTGCAGTGCAACCCTCAAGTGGTTGTCTACAACTGAAGAAAGACTCGTCAAAATTAGTGACCACGCACCTGAGCTTCTCTTTGTCAGATATTAGAATGTTTTCATACATATATATGATACGGCAGTGGATAAATCAATTCAATTTGTGGGTTTTTTGTTAACTGGCGAAACATATTTCCAACAGTTCATCTTTTGGGAATATGAGATTTCTGCAGTTGTGGAAGTTTGTTAAATTATTGGACAGAATTTTCACTTTGTCTTATAATCTTTCAGTGTAACTAATTAATCGATCTAGCAATATGATTTCGGGCAAATATACTGATCGGAACGTACTTGAATTGAGATGATGCTGTTTACACAGAGAAAACTATTTGGTGAATTTCAACAACTAGTTGTTGAACAAGGTGTCCAGCCGTCAGGGAAATCTGGAAAATCGAGAATTGTCAGGGAATTTGATTGATCTGGAAATAACAGTTAAAAGGTCAGGGAATTACGCAACCTTTCTGGATTTTGAAAATTTGAAGCTTGTTTTCTCCAAGTACCTACGTTGTTGCAGATTCTTCTGCTAACTAAAAATTTTATCCTGGAATTTGATCTCAAACCTACTCAGAACAGTGAGATGTTAATATATTCGCGTTTGATAAGACTGAACCCACTGTTTTTGCGGTTTTTCTATGGAAAATTCTAAATTCAGCATTCTACTTTTCAAAGGCATTCTCGCATATCAAGATGGTGGAAATCTTTGAAAAATAATCATTTCCAGTAATATACAAACTGTAAAACCACTTCTCGACAAATTTTTTGCTGTACGTATTTTTGTTGAAAAGTTGACAGAGTAATCACCTCTTAAGGGAAGACCTCGCTAAAATTGAAAAGTCTTTGAAAATTCCCTTTGCCAATTCCTTTATTGCGCAATTTCCATCTGATGTAGATTTTTGTACATCGCAATTTTCGTTAGACTCTAGAAAATGAAATTAAGTACCCATTTTACATCATAAATTATGGATAATAGCCCATGAAAAAAATTTTCTTTCAATGCACTCTTTTTTGTATGTTCTTGCATAATGTCTAACAAATCGAGTGGAGCTGATAGACTAAATCTAAAAGATTCATTTTTTCTCAATCCATTCTATGCAATGGAAAACGAATACTCAATTTTATTCTTTGAATTCTAACGAACATTGAAAAAAAAAATCTGAATTGGATGGAAATTATGATCTAAAGAAACTTTCAAAAGTGAAAAGGGGAAATGACGAAAATTGACTTGGTGGGTTTTTTTGCCAATCGACGATAATTTTATTTTAGCGCCATCTGCCTTTCAATTTCGTTCGGTACAGGAGTTAATGTGCATGGGTGCACATCTATTGCTCGTTGATTATGAACATTAGGTGATCCTCGTTTATCAACCGTTTTAATCCTCTAAGGTAAATTTCAATATCTCCACTTTTCCGCCTTCAAAACGGAATTCCGGTTTTCAAATTTAACATTCTTTCATTAAAAAAAAACGTTTTCTATGGTCAAGGAATTTCATGAATTTTACCGGGAAAAAGGAATTTTATTGAAACTTCCAGGTGGACACCCTGTTGAAATTCAATAATAGCAAACAATTTCCTCTGTGTAGACTAAAAGCGAATTCTGCAAAAAAACATCGGCTGAAAATAGTATCTGAAATTTAATCAGGTGATATACTAGTAAGTAGAGTAAAGAAATATTTTAGTTGATATAATTTCATAGAATTATCCAAATCTAGAAATTTCGCGTTGTGAAAAATAACACTTCAATCATATTCATTTTCGTAAATTGTGATTTTTTGGCTTTGTTTTCGGTATATCACGATTCGATTTTATACATAGATATCTTCTGAGTCTGCATCTGTCCCAGACTGATCGTTTTTATTTCATTGTTTTTTGAAAATGAATTTTAATACTGATGAATCATCTAATATTTTTGTCATTCTTCTGAATAGTATATGCTGTGGTCGCATTGGATGTCATTAAATTCAATTGCAGATATGTCAGCAAAAGCAGAAATCAGGAATAGACGAGGGCGGAATTGAGTGGGGAGACGAGGGAGACATGACTTTCCAGACAGTCATTGATAAACGAGATTGGCCTTTCAAACAGCAACAGCATGATTCTACATCATCTGATGAAGACGAAGAAACAAGAGACTTACATATGGAAGTCGATTCTTCGGATCGTGAGTATTCATTTTTAATTACATGGAAAATAAATTTAAAAGATGACTTTGGGTTCGGAACAAAGGAAACAAGTTGCTAATCGTTTGGTTAAGCTCCGAATATTTTTCTCTGATAAAAGTAGTAACGGCTTCCAAATGGACAAGTTTTGTGATGAACACTGTTAAAGCTATACACACGTATACCGGGTGTCCCATTTGAAACAGTACGGCTTAATATCTCTCGTAGAAAGGGGACAGCAAAATTGTTCAAATACAAGTTGTAGGGTTCGGAGGAGGAAACTTAGTGCTGATGGAATCCAGGCCCTCATTGCTTATGTTTCTATGCTACGAGCATAAAGTCACTTTTTTTTAATGGCAATAATATTTTTCACCTCTAAAAAAGTTGTTCGTCTCGCCGAGAAAAGTTCAAGCATTACATATTTTTTAATGACGTCATCGTTTTCATATGAATAATCGTACGAAAATCAAACGAAAGGGAAATATCTTTATTCAGACTACCTTACCGCACTGAAACGCTGGAATAATATTCATTTACTATCTCGTTAATGTACCATGTAAACAAAAGATGACTGAGGTAGGTAAGGGACGTTGTAAGAGCTAAGTGTTATTCTTCATTTTCCGTCAGTGACAAAATATCCATCATTTAGTTCATACAGTATCGTTCAAAATGGCTTATTCTGCTAGTGAATGTGTGGATATTTTACTCATATTCGGTGAGTGTCGACAAGTGTATCAAAGGGCTATACGACTGTGCACTGTATGCACAGTGCTTTCCAAATCGAGGACGAAATCCTTCTGCTGCAGTCATTCGCCAAATCGAACGAAATTGTCGGCAGGGAAGAATTGGGCAACGGCAACGCCAGCAACTTTTCTATGTTGACGATCCACGCAGCGTTGCTGACAGCGGGCATGGTTCCAGCTAGACGGTGCACCACCGCACTTCACTCGATCTGTGAGAGATCATCTAAACATTGTTTTCTCCAATCGTTGGATCGGTCGAGGTGGTTTTGCCCAGTGACCACCTCGATCTCCTGACCTTACCCTACTCGATTTTTATTTGTGGGTGTTCAAATTATGATTGGAACCTTGAAATAATTTGCCACGTCACATAATTTGAATTAATTGTCGATTTAATTATCACAATAACTCTGATTATACATTGTGAAACCTTTAATAATTTGGATTACAATTGCACGTGCTCCAATTCACTGTATCGATTTTTATCAATCGTATCAAAAAAAAAATGCATCTTGAATCTATCTGCGAATAATGTCGACAGGTGCGTTGCCAATATGAGAACAATAGAGGTGCCAACCGCTCATGAAGTGAGTCGGTACAAATTGACCGCGATATTTTAAATTCATTCTAACACGTCCCCTCAATTTGGATCGACACAACAAAAAAAAATCAACAAAAGTCAATCACTTTGTGACACTAGCGTTGATCCTGCGAAGACCCATCGACTCAATGCACTTCCAGTGCAATTCCTTGGATAACGGCTTCGTCAAAACGTCAGCTACGTTCTGCTCAGTGGGGACATACTTGACTTCAACGTACCCCTTGTTGATGATATCCCTGACGAAATGATGTCGTATGTCGATATGCTTAGTACGAGGGTGATGTACTTGACCCTGAGATATGCATATTGCTCCTCTGTTATCGACAAATACAACAGTTGCACTGAACTCGTGCAACTTCAACTCATGAAGTAGACTTCTCTGGTGCAGACCTTCCTTCAGGGCTTCAGCTAGGCTGATGTACTCAGCTTCAGTGGACGAGAGAGCGACAATCCTCTGCTTCTGGGATTTCCATGAAATCGCTCCCCCAGCCAGGATATAACAGTATCCAGTGTACGACTTTCGGTCCACAAGGCAATTCGCCCAGTCAGCATCTGTAAATCCCTCTATGGATTTATCAGACTTGTAATAGACAATCCCCAGGTCCATAGTACCTGCCAGGTATCGGAAGACTCTCTTCACCGATGCCCAATGCTCCTTATTTGGATTGTTCGTGAATTGTGCCAATTTCGACACAGTGTTGGCGAGATCAGGTCGGCTAGCCATCACTAGATATGTCAGGGATCCAATAGCCTCTCGATAGGGCCAACCTCTCGACTCATCTTCCTTCGATTCTGAAAATTTATTACCAAGTACTGCAGGAGTACTCACCGACTTACAATTGTCCATCCCAAAATGGACCAGCAAATTCTTGATGTGGTTCTGCTGAGAGAGTGTGATCCTTTCCACATCCTGTCTGATCTCCAACCCCAGACAATATTTCGCCAATCCTAAGTCCTTTATTTGAAATTCCTTGGACAATTCCACCTGAATTTCTACTTTCCAGGTCTCGTCATCACAGGCAATCAATATGTCGTCGACATATATCAGGATGAGGAGTCTGTGACCATTTTTCTCGCTGTGGAATAAGCACGGGTCACCCTTAGTCTGCTGAATACCCATAGACAGCAACTTTCCACTGATCCTCTTGTTCCACTGTCTCCCTGCCTGTTTCAGTCCATACAGCGCCTTCTGGAGTAGACAACAATCTCCTCCTTGCTTCAGACTCGTCAGCATGCTCTTAATCTTGTCGACAACTTGGCTCCCTGGATCCTCACTCTCGATTAGCAACTTCAGAGAATCCTCAAACATTTCTGGCATCTCCATGTGAATCTCCTCGTCAATGTGCCCATTCAGGTAGGCGGTCACGACGTCATATTGCCATATTCGAAGATTCAATTCGACTGAGATTGCCAACATGAGCCTCAACGTCTCCAAGCGAGCTACTGGCGCGTATGTCTCGTGATAGTCGATTCCAGGACGTTGACTGTAGCCTTTTGCCACCAATCTAGCCTTTCTTCTGCTGATTGTCCCATCCTCATGGTATTTGTTTGTTAGAACCAATCGACAACCTACGACCCTTGCGTGCTCTGGTCGTTTCACTACTCTCCATGTGTCATTTCGGATGTGGCTCCTCATCTCTTCCATAATAGCGTCTCTCCATTCTGCTCTGTCACAACCAGTCAGAGCCTCATCAACGGAGATTTCTGCTATCCCTGAGAAAAGGTACAGGCTAGCAAAGGCATCTTCCTGAATCCATGCGGGATCATCGACACTTAACCCAGCGTTAGCATCCTCAAAGACATCATCGTCGGCGTCCTCAAGGACTATTGTCGGGATCCCTGCCTCTTCTGACTCTTCAATCAGAGTCGAGCTCCTTCCTTGAGAATATACTTTAGCTGGACGTCCCCTGGATCCGGTGCGTAAGAGACTAGGTCTGCCTCTTCCTCGTCTAACTTGTCCTCGAATATTTGGTCTTTCGATTTCTGGCTCCCTTGAACTCTGGGATGAGCTGGATGTGCTCGATCCCCTTGACGAGGTCTGTCGACTGCTCAGTCGCCCAAAGGCAGGATCATCCTGAGGAACTCCCAAGTCCTCTGATCCTGACTCGAATGGATCCTCATCGTCGTCAGCTCTGCCATCCTTGCTAGTAGACTTCAGGAACTTGACATCTCTCGACACTACGGACTTTCGTTCGTCTGGTAGCCACACACGATATCCCTTCGTTTCTCGTGGGTACCCAATGAAAATCCCCTTCTTGGAACGAGATGCCAACTTGTCCTTGCTTGGATCCTTGTCGAGAATATAGACCTCAGATCCAAAGGTTCTGATGATGCTCAAATCAGGAAACTTTCCAGTCCAGATTTCCAGGGGTACAGCCCCCTTAATGCTGCTCGACGGTGATCGATTTCGCAGGTAACTGGCTGTGGCCACTGCATCAGCCCAAAAATGTGCACTCATCCCTGACTGAATCAATAAGCATCTTGCTGAATTCATGAGCGTGCGGTTCATCCGCTCTGCAACCCCATTTTGCTCAGGTGTCCTGGGTACAGTTACTCGACGCTCAATCCCAAAAGACTTCAGATACTCGTCCATGGCTCGGTTACAATACTCCTTTCCGCCATCAGTCTGAAGTATTTTAATTTTGTGCCCCGTCTGATTCTCAACGTTCTTGTGAAACATCTTGAAGGCCTCTAGAACACCACTCTTCTCCTTCAAGAAATAAACCTGGCACATTCGAGAGCAATCGTCGATGAAAGAGACATAATACCTTGCCCCATTTAACGCTCTCACCCGGAAGGGTCCTGCTACATCTGAGTGGACGATGTGAAGCAACTCTGAACAGGGTCCACTCCCTGTCGAAAATGGTGTAGCTGCCATCTTGCCCTTGATGCACACCTCACAGGCCACGTCGTCATCAAGTTTGACGACTGTACCAGTCATCTTCTGAAGGAGTTTCGACAAATCCTTCATGTTGAGGTGCCCCATTCTCTCGTGCCAGAGTCTCAAGTTCACTGTCGACTGTGCGAGGTGAGAGTCTTCAGGTTTCTCATCCTCCTGGACTGGTAGATAGTACAGATCACCTTGTCTCCCTGCTCTCAGCTTGACTTGCCCATCAGGTTCCATGACCATGGCACTTTTACTGGTGAAGACAACTGTACGTCCAGAGTCGGTGATTCTAGCAACTGAAATTAAATTTGCACGTAAATCTGGTACAAACAAGGCATTTCGAAATTCAATCGTCTTACGACCTTGATCGCTGACAACTGGAAGTCTCACGTTGCCTCTGCCCTCGACTTGGCTGGACTCCTGACTAGCGAGATTCAGACGTCCTCCAATTGAGTTGTCAATCCAGTCAAAATACTTCTGGGCACCGCAAACGTGGGCAGTGCAGCCGCTGTCCAAGATCCACTTGTCTGTATGTGTCACATGCTCTGTCGCCTGATGAACTTCCTCGAAGATCGAATGGAATGCCACATCATTGGCATTGTCTGCTCCAGCTAGGTCCTCTTCTCGATTCAGCATCTCGACAACTTTGGCCAATACCTGGTCCTCGTCGACATCACCTCCAACCACCTGGCGTGACTGTCCCAGGGAAACCTCCCTCCAGATACCATGACAGGCCATGTAAGTGTCATTCTTATCATTCTGCCCCTTTTCTGA